TCTTTGTATTGTATGTTTCTTTTTAACAAGAGAATGTTTTCTTATTCGTTACTGTTGCTGGTATTTTAACTTATTTCGTCTTTGTTTTCTAATATTCTAAACGTATATATTATTTGAACGAACAAAAAAACAAAAGACGATATTTCCTATTCATCGTAAATCACTAGTAACTCTTATTAATTTCCATCGGATGAAAGAGTGATAGTTCTGTTTTTTTTTCTTTCTTTTTATTGTATTATTTCATTTAAAAACATTCCGTTTCTCGATGAATCGATCAGTATATAGCTTTTGTTTCTTCAAAAACAAAAAAAGTCCATATTTATTGTAGTATATTCGAAAAATTTTATTTACATGTTTTCTTTTGTTGTCATTTTTTTTAATTACTCTATGCTATATCTCATTTTTCTAGTTATTTTTTTGTCCGGTTATATACGTATCTATCTTGTAAAAAGTCAAATAAAAAAAAAAAACATAATTTCTTGTTTTAAAAGAAGAAAAAATAGATTTTTGGTTTTCGATAATTCGTAAATGAACTTAAGGACACCTCCTTTCCCGGTCTTCTGAAGAATGATCCGACCAAAATTTTTGAACTTTTCAGAGTAGATAGATCTCGATTAGTAGAGTAAAAGTTGTCATAGACTCAGAATTTCTAGATGCTTCCTTCTATGAAATATAGGGTGTCTAGGGGCCAAAAAATGAGCTGATAGTCTTCTCCCTCATAAATAGCCAGAATTCATTTTTTGTCACTGAATCTTTTTTTTGTATCAACTAGGATCAAATCAGGGTGAATATATATATGTTTTTTTTTGGAAAAATATTGTTTCCTTCGCTTAGGAGAACTAAAATACTGGAAGTCCTGCCAAAAAATACTAGAACATTATTTTAAGAAAAAAGAAAAAGATATATATACACCCCGATTTAGTCTTAATTGTCACACAAAAAACTTCAGCTCAATCGGCCGAAGCGTCTGGGAGAAAAAAAGGGAAAAAAAGCTCCAATTTTTCTCTAGAAAAGTAGATTTTGAGAAAAAACGTGAAACAACATAAAACACCCTTTTTTCGATATTTCTTGTCTTTTACTTTTTTCATGCATAACTATCAATTAATGCACTTGTAGAGTGACTAGAAGAATGCATCGTTGACCCACACAACACATTTTAATGATGAAATAACTAAATTAGTATAGATCATTTACAACACGATAGACAATATTTTACTTTGTTGTGCATTTTTCTCAAAAATCAATTTTTTTTTCACCAAAAATAAAATGACGTTTTCTCTCCCACACAGTATGTCCGAATGGGCTTAAGGTTTTTTTATGAGTACTTCGATCAATTTGAGATGCATGTTTTTTTTTTCTTTCTTCAAAATATCGTTCCTATGTAATTCGACAGCCTTTACAAAATTAGTGTGAAAAAAGCACGCATCTCAATTTGATCCTAAAACAAAATTACAGCTCGAAAAAATGAAATATAGAGTTTTGCTGGGGGAAACTTCTGATCACTTTTGGTTTTTGCAAGTCTCATATATTCTTGAAGAAAACATTTAGGAATTTCGAGTCTAGGACAACTTTTGCACGACTTATTGAAAATCTATCTGCTTTGAAAATTTCATCATTTTTCATCGAGCCGTTCTCGAGAAACCTCGAAAAAGCAGGGAGGCCTCTTAAAGAAAAGAAAATGGGAGGAGAATTAAAAAAAAATACGTAGCTATTGGTTGATTGGTCAAAGTGATATTGTCATGGTGAGAAGTTTATAATCCTTCGTTCTTCCTTGCCAATGATTCATATTTATTGCAAAAAAAAGAAATTTATTATGTATTAAACATTTTGAAATTTTCATACAGATCAAATGAGTTTTTTTGGAAGTCTTAGTAAAAAAGCTGTTGAAAAAGTCTACGATCTTGCATCAAAAGTTGAAGGTGGTCGAGATTATTTAACTTCAGCTACTAATACAGTCAATACATTAGTTAAAGGCAGAGATCCACGGTAGAATAAATGAATAAAAAATACGTCTCAAAATAAATATCTATATATTTTAGTGTTCATTTAAAACATGGTAATATAATTCAATTATTTTCTCGATCATCTGGTCGTACAATACAAATTGTAATGTCAAAAACAAATCAACTAATATGTAATGCTATAGGTGGTACTGGTTCATATTATTCAAATGCTTGTTGGATGGTTATACCAACTCAAAATGATCGTTATTATTTTCATAATAATTATAATTATCTTGCTATTAAATATGGTCAAATTGTCATTATACCATTATCAATGCATCAATATCCTCCTCCTGAAGCTGAATTTCGTGTACAAGATGTTTTAGGTTCAGCACATGCTGTTTATTTAGAATCTGTACGAACACCTGGATGTTTTATTGGTTTTAATTGGGATGGCGAACCTTGTAATGAAATAAAAATAGAAACAAGAGAAAAATTTGCTCAACTTGAAATTCATCTTGTAAGTTTTATGAGTATGTTCTTCTTTCTTGAATCAATACTGTTTATATTCTATTCATTTTGCTTTATTGAAACAAAATATGAAAGTTTTGTTCAATGTCTTAAAATTTCACGAAATAATCTATTCTCAAGCAAACAAAAACAAAGACATGTGCAAAACAAAATTGATTTTAAGAGAAAAAAAAACAGAATAATATTAAACTTAATAGACACTCTTTACATATTGACAGTAGAAATCAATGTTTTATGCAGTGAGAGAATCGAAAGGACACTACCTTAGCGAAGATCAGGTTGACTCTCTCGAAGTTTCAAATCGCCATTCTGGAAGAGAAAATCTGAATAAATCATTAGTTGAAGTATTGTCCGTATAGTACATTCCAAGAGTGTTTTTTCATAGATGGATATAACTACAATAAGTCTCTGCCTAGAGATTGCGAGACTAAGTTTCTTTTCGTCCTCGTAGCTCTATTCTAGCTCCCATTCCGATGGCTTCTTTTTGAGTAGTCTCGGTTCCGATAATTTTAGTTTTTCGGCAGAGAAGTATTTAGAGGGGGATCGATCTTCACCTTTTCAAAAAAAATTTCATTAACAATTTGCAAGGTTATTGTTCTTTGAACTTCAAAAACATTTTTATTAATCAATTAATATAAGCTGCATGTTTCTGTCGACTCTTTGTTTGCTATAAGTAATGTCAAATATACAAGTAACATTCATCGCAATTGAAAATCGATTCACTGAATTCTAGACTGACGGAATGATGACTAAGATATGCTAATATTTTTATATAAAAATGAATTCTCTACAATGATGACTTTGAGAGAAATTAACAATATTTGAAAGATGTTGCATAGTATATAGTATAAATATATTCAAACGATTAACATAAAATATAAAAAGATATTTTTGTGCATGATAAGGTTTATGCTTTAGCTGATTATAACAACAAAAAAATGATTAATTGTGCCAGAGAAATTGCCGTTTGTGCGGCAGAAATGCTCATTTATGCCATAAAACTGGTCATTTGTGTCACAGAAATGGTCAGTTGTGCCATAAAAATGGTCATTGATGCCAAGGCCTTGTTACAGATAGATAGATACAGATGAATTACGGTTTCTAAACCCTAGACTTTCAGTCTAGGGAAAAGAATATTCTATAACAACTGAGGATAAATTGTTAGCGACATTTTTCTTGATGTAGAAGATTGAAATTTTTATTTTACAACAACATGAAGTATTGGTCGTAAGGTTCATAGCACAATTAATTAATGAACATAGAAAATCTGTGTAGATATCGGTGCTAAATTTGTTGATGTATGAAGAATTGAAAATGTGTGGAATATAATGAACAAAATCATTCGTGGAAAAGTGTTTGATACATCATTGCAATTAGAAAAAGAAAATTTTCGAACGAAAGATGTTCAAAACTGATAGACGAAATACTTCACAATCGGTCATAGAAAGCAATGGAGACCGATGTTCATATATATAGAGTTTTTATTATAATTTATGTTTTTGGAAAAAAGAAGTTCTCTTGAAAAGTTTCATTTCCATTAGATTTTAATAAATATGACTACTCAAGAAATAAAGATGTCACTAGAATTCATGTATTGTAATTTAGTCCATGTATTTCAGTATTAATTTACAGAATCGGCCGGGTTTCGATCCATGATTTTATTTTTTTCGAATCCGAGATGAAAAACAAAACTGCGAAACAAATTAATTTTCATTTTCAACATGCAAGTCATGCTTTTGTATTATTATTATTTGTTGTTCATCTTTTTTAAAAGATTGCTGATGGATCTGGTGGTATTCAACCTGAACTTATTAATACAAGAGTTGAAACATTTGATACATCAGCACCTCCATCATATTGGGAAGCAACTAATGGGTTAAATAATCAATCTACAACTGGACATAGATCAAACTGAACATTCTTATAAATAATCGAGCTTTTTTGATTTTTCTTGTTTTTTTTTGTTTTGTGCATCAAACATAAAATAAAATGTTGTAATATTGTAATCGATTTCTAACGCCATCTATCATTTGATGAATGTGTTTGTTTTTTTTTTCTTATTTGATTATTCATGATTGGTTTTATTAAGTTAACCAATAATAAACGAAAAATGTTGCACCAAATATAATGATGTATGACCTCATCTATTGAAAGAAATGACATAATGTGTTCTAGACATCTTAGATGTTGTTTTTTTCTTATTTAGTAAAATTATGAAACGTTCAATAGTGATAAATAATTCAAATGATAATAAGAAAATAAATGAATATCATAAACAACAACGAAAACGTTCATTAGAAGATTCAAATTTAATGATGAAATTAAAAAAACGTCGACATCTTTCACCACAATATGATAATAATATCACTTCGTCATCTATGAAAATCAAAACAAAACAACGATCTTCATTAAATAATTTAACTGTTAGAACGAAAAATACTAGTCAAACATCTCGTGTAAGTCTTAATTATTTATTGATACTAAGTTCTTAAAATTAACTTTATAATTTCAACAATAAGATTCAAATAAAAAAATAAAATAAAGAAATCTAATTAGTTCTTATTGAGTTATATTTTAAGATTCGATTGAAGTCTAACTAAGTTTTCGAATTTATTATTTCCTAGAGACTTTCTAACTAATAAGGAAATATTTTCAATCGTTTTCTCACTAAAAGCTACTGGACTGAATTATCAATAATTCTGTTTCCGACTATGATCATAAGAAATCGAGCATAAAGTTTCTATCGAACGTAATTCTGGAAAGCTTTGAGAACTGTATTCTCTTTATATAAATTGTTCTTTATTATCATTCAAATAATATGTTACTTCATGACTATATCTCGAAGCTGAATCGGTTCAGAATAAAACTTTTTCTTTTACATGATAGTTTTCCGTAAATGACATTAAACATGTCCCTAAAATACGTTGTATGAGTAATAGTTTGTTTTTGTTTTGAAATGAAGTTTCTTGAAGTTATTCTTTTAGTATATTTTTACGCTCATTGTTTTTCTTGTAATAGTATATACCCATAGGTTTCAAATGATTACTAATTGCTTCAAAAACTGATTCTAAATTTCGGAGTTATTCAACGTAAAGAAATACTAGTCTTGTGATGCACTAGTCGTTTCAATCGTGTCAGTTGCTCATGTTATGGTTTCTTTAGACCAACTAAATCTAGGTTTGTCACAAATGTTGCTAGAATCTTCATATTTCTTAATAATATTATATATAGTTTGATGAGAAATGTTCTCTTGTAAAAAAGTAATTTACAGTAATCTTTTGCAGATGTTCTCATTCTGAACGTATCATAGCTACCAAAATAAAATGATGATATAACATGTTATATATCAAATTGACACTTTATAGATGCACAGAAATGTGAGAAAAGCTTACTCCGTTGTCAGAAATGTATGTAATAATATTGTATCGAGACTTTTTACACATAGATTCATATTATCTTACAGATTTTCATGTTGAAATGTCTGTTGTTTCACTTAAAAGAGCTGTATTTTCTGCATTCAAAAAAAAAACGACTTGAAACAAAAAAAGTTACCATTTTGTGGACAATTCGATATGTTCGATAGATCAAAGAAAAACTATTTGGTGAAAAGTTTGTTAGTCTGAAAAATCTAAGAGGATTTCTCATGGTCATATTCGAAATTAACAATTCATTAGCTTTCAGTGAGAAAGGAATTAATTAGTTGAAAACATTCACTTGTAAGATATTGTTTTTCTTTCTTTTTAATCATTAAAATCTAATAGAATTCTAAAAGCATTCATTTTCCTACAAATAAAATAAATTTCATTCTTTTGATTAATAGATAATTATTATTTTTTTCATAATATATTTTTATTAAAATATTCTATAGTTATAAATAGATTGTTTTGAGAGTAATACAAGCGAGATATATCGATTTCTAATCATGGAAAAATCTTGTCTTTCTGTAGTGTAACCGAAACATTTTCTCGTAGTCAGTTAGAGAGATTTCATTTTGACCTTGATTCTTATTTTCTTTTTCTATACTTATAAACCTAGAAAAGAATTGTCGACTCTTCATTGAGAATTTATACATAGTATCTATGTGTATTCTTCCTTTTTGAAGATAATTGAAAATAATTTTTAGATCGAAGAACAATTTCTTGTTAATGTGAGAAAAATTTTTCTTTTTTAAATTGTTTCTCATAAGCAAGAAATCGTTTAATGTATCATTTGAACTTCAAACTGTCGCATCTAACGAGCCATATGTCACAACTGATTATTTGCGTTTGAGTGGAGATTGTGTAGGTTCGAATGATTTCTGGAAGAACTTCAGAATCTTAGTTTATTGCTGTGGAGATATTGCAACAAATAGTTTTCAAACTTTCAAAAGAAAATTGAAAATAAAAAAAGTATATTTTAGTTTATTATAGATTAATTACAAAGAAAGAAAATCAAGTTATCTCCAATCTCTTAAGGATACTTCCTTTCCCGCTTTCTGAAGAGTTTTTAGAGAATCATTTGATCAGAAAAATTTGAAATTTTCAGAGTAAATAGATCTTGACGAGTAGAGCAAAAGTTGTCATAGACATAGTTTTTGAATGCTGTCGATTTACAGATTGGCATTGTTTTTAAATAATTCTAAATTAATCACTAAGATAGTTGAATTGTAATTAATTTATTCGAGAACTTTTTTCTTTTTTTTTTGTGTATTTATATTGTATAATTTATATTTTAGAAATCTTCATCTCGTCGTTATTTATTTTCAACGGAACATTTAAATAAAATTAATTTACCTAATTGGGAATGTATATCACCAAATATTAATCAAATCTTATCAGATAAACATACAAAATCAGGTGTTTATGCACATGAAATACATCTTATTCAACAAGAACTTGAAGCTCTTTTATCTATGTCTATGATACGTGAAAATATTCTTCATTCAATAAATTTTGATAATTTAAATTTAAAAATTCATCAACATCAACAAGCTGAATATATTTATTCATCTAAATATATTCCAAAAAAATTTTTACCACCATTAATTAATCATCAACAACATCAACATAATGGTCCACATATATTACTTGATCGACAAGTATCAATGACATCAATAACAGATGCACATATTGATAAAATTTGGTCTGATATAAATACATATTATCGTCAAATATCATTAAATGATATATCGATAATTAAAAATTTTCTTGAATTTAATCAACAATTAAAAGAAAAAATTTTTAAATATAAAAATTATTATAAAAATAATAAATTAACTCAATTAAATATAATTGAACAATTAAATAAAGAAAATTTTCAAGATTTATTAAATCTAACACAAATTAATCCTATAATTACACATTATATAAATCGAACAGCTCTAGAACGTTTTCAAACAAAATTATATGAACAAGTACAACATACATCATCTATGAATAAAAATCAATTTTCTACAAAATCATTAAATTATGATTTTAATTCTAATTTATCATTACGATGTTCACCACGTTTACAACCAAATTATCGAACAGATCTTTTTTCTCTACCTAATGTAAGTGTATATGGACGAAACTGGTTTCTTTTTTTGGAGTTCATATCGTAAAGTCTATTCCGGAATTTTCAGATTTTTTTCTTGTATGGTTAAAGAAATATTCACTAATTACTTTTTTTTTTATTAATAGTCACCTAAAAGAGCCAACATTTTTACATATGCCGATGCTAAAAGAACTAATTCAAAAAACTAAATAGCGTCAAATGAAAGATGAATATTTTCTGTTTCATCAAAAATAGGCCATATATGAAATGTGTTGACATGAAACTTCATAAACATTCTTCATGACAAAATTACAAGTCAAATGTATAACTTTTGATTAATGAGAAAAACTCGATAGTATTAGAAAGACATAGTTCAATATAATGATCGAATATTATTTTGATTATACTTATTGAACTTAGAATATAATTTACAATTGAAAGATAGATTGAATAAAAGAATTGTTTCATGTTTTTATATTAATCGAGTGATTTTCTTAGAGAGCTGTCTAAAATGATTTAGTGACATGAATAAGAAAGAAACATTCATTTTGTTTGAAGCTTGCGCAAATAATCTCAAGATCATCCAGTTGACATCAAGGCAAAGCTAATGCTTAAAATAGCAGACAGACACATTACAAACATTTATTCTGGAAAGAAGATTTACTTATAATTAATGAAATTACTTTAAAAAATGTGCTTTTTTTCTAGCTTGAAGGTATTTGTCATAACATAGAAAAAAATAATAGTTCTCTAATAGATTTTTGTTTTTATTGTATAATATTGTAATTATCTAATAAACTAAAGGATATTTTTATAAGTTTATAATGTAAAAATATTATAATAACAAATTTCTTTTAGTTCAAATCAGATGATGATGATGATCATCGACAATCATTAATACTCAAACGCAAAAAGCAAACAAGATTTACATCGATGAATTCATCTTTATCAATAAAATTTCAAGAACATATTCAATTAGTTCATGATTATCTAACTGATCAACATTCATTTACAAATCAATATCTTAAACAACAATTCATTAATGATATTAAATTAAATAAAAAACGAAAAACTTCAATAATAAAACAACAATCTAAAGATATATTTGAATCAAAACTTTCAACATTAATATCATTATTACATGAATGTTCATCATTAAGTTTATATGCATTAAAACGTGCAAATTTACAATATAATAATGAACAAACATGGAAAAAATTAAATAAAATTGAATATGATCTTGATTTATTAATACAAGATATTGATAAATCTAATAATAGTAAAAATACAAAAAAAACATTTCAAACATTAGATCATTTATTAAAAGATTGGAAAAAATATGAATATGATTTCGATAATCAATTTGAACAATTATTTGATATTAATATTTAAAATGATTTTGGTTTTTTTCCTTTTCTTGTTTCTGTTTACCATCTTGCGTATATATATATATATATATGTATGTCGGTAACCAGAAGAAGAAAACAGCGTACAGAAATATTTCTGCGAATGTTTATTTTCTAGTTGTGTTTAATTTTTAGGATTTTGTTTTTGTTTTTTGTTTTTTTTTTGTAAATAATTCATAAATTCAACTTATGAAAAATATGTTCGATGATCTGTTATAAATATTATACACATACGTTTTTTTTTTGTTTTAGATTATAATTAAAAATAGTATATAAACTATTGTTGCTTGTCGTTATATAGATATATTAATAAATTGTGTAATACTCACGAGGGAAATCTGTCAACTGATTAAGCGCTTATATGTATTATGTGTAGGTTCTAATGACGCTATGAATACCCTGAAAAGAATTCGGCGCCCTAGATTATTACTACCGAGATATTACGATACTTTTTTTTTTTGATACAATTCATTGTAGTCCCCGATCAATAACACTAGAAAAACTAATTTGTGAACTTCAATTCGAAACTTGACATAAAGATACATCCTTACGAGAATAGTTTATTCTGAACCTATCCGAAAATAAGAACATCGAATTTACAGTGTGAATAAGAGATGTAAGACATACTCTATTATCCATACAGACATATCTTAAGATACGAACAACGAAACTATTCTCATTAGGGTCTACTTATATGCAAAGTCTCGAATTACAATTCAAAAAAAATCATTTTTCCTAATATTCTCGGAAGGATCATATTATTGAATTAAAAAATGCAGTATCTCAGCAGCACTAAGTTAAGAATCCGAACTCTTTTCAGGATATTCATAACTCATTATGGCCTATATGATAGACATAGTTTCAAATCAAAAGTGATTAATCATTTATAGAACTTCTCTCACGTTAGATTATTTAACAAAAAAATATCTATCTGTTTTAGATTTTTCTGTTTATTATCAACGAATTAATATTGGTAAGTCTTATAACAAAGTAAAAAAAAAAATCTACAGTATTTCCTAGTTCCATTTTAATATTTTTATTCTCATTCGAAATGAAATATGTCAAGTAGAAAAAAAAAGACGAGAATTGAATACAATTTCCGTAAATGAATACAATCAATAATTGTTTATTTGTCTGTATACAATTGCAAGATTGTCTAGTCTAAAAATCTACTATTAATTTATCATTCACATTTATCTATTGATTTTCAATTATATCTTTTTTTCGAGTTTGATAGAACGATATATATATATATATATACCGTACATATTTTACCCTGAAAATTTGAGTAAATGTCTTCGTCATTTATTATGTACAAACTGTATTACATCATAGACAGATAAGAATTTTTGTCATTGAATTCAATGATGGTATTTAATCAATCAGACTTAAAGAATGACCTATTTTCATTTACAACGCTAAATCATTTTTTCTTCTTCGTTTCATTAATAATCATTGTCTTCTCTCCTTAACTTTTGACATTATTCAGACGACCTATTTTTCCCAAAAAAAAAAAAAAAAAAAGAAGAGAACGATCATCTCTATTGACCCTCATCTCTCTCTCTTCCCTCATTCTTTTTTTTCTATACACATTCACATATATATATATATATATGTATGTCGGTGTTGTAGCGACGAGAGTATGCACTCGCGCTATTCTCCTGCGCTCTTTTTTTTTTGCCTATAGTATGAGTACGCATGAATCAGTAGACATTCATTCTCTTTTCATTCTTTTTTTTTGCTTGCAAACGAGTAAAGTTAGGGCATTGATTGTATGTGTGCATTGATAGATCATTGCCTTGTATCAAATTTTTCTTTTTAGAATGATGATATATTAAAAAAGAAAGAAAAAAACTATGGCCGAAAATCAAAATAATTCATCTTCAAAACGGTATAATTCAATTAATAATGAACAAAATAGAACAAATTCTAATCATGAACAACTTATTCCAATTTCAATTGAATATTTATCAACACCAATAACAATTTCAAATAAACGATGTCGTCGTTCTTCAATAACAAATGAACAATCTTTATCAACACAATTATGTTCAAATAATCAAGATTTTATTTATGATAGAAACCTTACTATGACACCTATTATAGGAACTCGAAAACGATCAGCACAAGATGATCTAGTCGCTTTTACAACGCATCAATTTCTTCAAGAACATGAACAATATGTAAGAAATATTTATTTTCATCTATTAAAAGAAAAAAAAAAAACATCATGATAAAACTAATGAGAATTATTATTTATAGTTTAAAAAATTAGACAGATAAAATAGTACATAATCGATTCATTTCTATATTTAAAAAATTTCAATATGTTATATTAAAATTAACGAAATCAATCAGTTCAAATTCATTCACTTTGAAAAAAAAAACAAAAAAAAAATTTCTAAATAATTCATTTTCTAGACGCATAAACGAGCTCGATATGAAAATTCGAATAGTATTGAATTAGAAAATCAACCACCACGTTTAACTAATAAACGTCGATCTTTATTCTTTCATCAACAACAACAACAACAACAACAGCAAGAAGATCATTTATCATCAACATGGAATAATCATCAGACTACAAATGATATATCATTATTTTTTAATGATATTCCTTCATCATTATCACATCCAACAATAACAACATATCATCGAATAAATAATGTGCCTAATCATGAACATAATTTATCTGATCAATATTCATCATTATTAACTGAACAACATCATCATCATCATTCATCAATTTTTCATAATAATAATAATTCATTAATAACATCGAATCAAAAAAGTAAATTAAGCTTCTTTTTTTTTCTTATTTTTTAAAACAAAAATCTTTTTTTTTTTTTGTTAGGTACTATACCAAAATCTTCAAAAACTAATATACGTTTATTATCACCTCAATTAAATAGTTCTAGTCCATTACGTACAACAAATTTTCTATTTGATAATAAACAACAAACAATTATTCGTACAGGAAATATATCACCAGCACATTCAGATTCATCAAGTGAATCAACATCAACATGTTCATCGGATGAACAATTACATCATCATCATTATCATATTTATCAACCACAACCATGGCGTACATATCGTGAACGTGAAAATTATGAACAATTATTAGATCTTGCAGAAAAATTATCTGATCCAAATCGTTTTAATAAAGTTGATATACAACAATTTTTTTCTTATCGTTATAAAATACCAACAATATCATCTAAACAAACAGCTTGTGTTATTTGTATGTCACATTTTAAAAATGGACAACATATTCGTGTACTTCCATGTCAACATGAATATCATTCAAAATGTATTGCACGTTGGTTTGCAATGAATTCATCATGTCCAATTTGTCGTCGAGATAATTTTCTATCTTCTTGCTGATATATATATATATATATATATATATATATGTATATTTAATTGCACATATCATTTATGAATTTAGATAGATATATTTCGTTGTGTGCAACAGTAAAAATCTTATATTCAATGTCTACGTGTATATTTTTACGATGTTCAGCAAGCAAAAACACATATATATATATATATAGGCATTCTTTTCTGTATTTGTCTTGTCTTCCTTATTTTACATTCTTTTCATCATTTCTATATGAATATTCTCTTTTGTTTGTATGTATGTAAGACAAGTATCTTTTGTGAGAGAATTAACTATCAGTTCTATAATGTTAGGTTACTGTGTATTCTTTCTATTTAGTTTTTTTTTTTTTTTTTTGTTTCAAAAAGAGAAGAAAAAAAAAAGTAATAGACAAGTATACAAAAGATTATATTTTTTTTTCTTCTTCTTTTTCTTATTGGTGCGTGAAAAGAAATGGGTCATACATAGACAGATGCTCACATTTTTTTTTTTTTCAACCTCCGGATAGAAAGTAAACCATTGAAGCTTACACATATGAGAGTGATCAATTATCATTTTTGTGAGTTACAACTAGCTTGACAGTAGTGGTCATGCATCTTATCTAGTCCGACACGAGTGAGAGAAAAAAAAAAGAACTGAAGAAGTGTTCGTGCATGCGCGCATGTGTATTGCGACTGGGCGATTTCAATGGGATGTCGACCGCCATCATATAAATAACAAGTAAAAGATAGCATAGTTCCATTTTCCATTGCCTTGTGAAAAAAAAACCAAGAGAGAGAGAAAGAGAAAAAAAAAAGTGACAGAACGAAAGAGCAAACTGTATAATTAAGAGAAAGACGAGACGTCGAGAGCATCTCTTTCTTTCTTTTTCTTTCTCCCGCATTTGTTCGTTCAGAACGAACAAATGTCTATTCTCTTCATCTATAGAGAAAGCATACAATGCATATACAGTTGTCGTGACGAAGTGGGTCTACTTTTTTTTCCTTTATTTGAAATGAATAAATACAATGTACATTCAATATGACGATTATGTTTTTTTGTTTTGTTTTTTTTTTTATTTTTTTAGTTTTTAGATCATGATGACAGTAACAGAAAGTACTGCTAATACAATGTCTCAATCTATTGGTAAGTTGCAAAAAAAAAACAAAAAACAATTATATCTTAAAATTTCTGTTTTTTTAGATTATAATAATTATGCAGTGAATCGTTCATATCCAACAACGACATATGATTATCGTCATGACGATTCTTGGGAGAAACCAAACTATGCAACATTTCATCATCAATCATCATTATTTTCAACCGGTGGTATTCCATCAATAAATAAATTTTATCATCCATCTTTTGATACAATTCCGAATCTCAATAATACAAATCCAAATTTTTATCGACGTCATAGTATGTTTAGAAATATTATATAACATTTATGTTTTTTTTTTTCTTTCTTTCTTTCTTTCTTTTATAGCTGAATCAACCTTACAGACATCGACTTCGATCTATTCGCCGTCTACATCTAATCCTCCTTCAAATGTTCCATTTAATTATTCAAATCATCCATCGGGATTATTTTTTGGTTGGAATAATGGATCATCTTTAATGCGTAC